ATATGTCGTAGGACAGATTGAAATTCAGTTCAGATTAAAATATCTTTGATCTGAACTAGTTCAGTTTAAAATCTTCCTAGTTGAGATCAAAATTATTTTAAAGTGAACTAGGAAGATTTTAAACTGAACTAGTTCAGATCAAAATATTTTAATCTGAACTGAATTTCAATCTGTCCTACGACACATATATATATAAATATTTATATTTATAAACGATAAGAATAGATAAGTGAAAAAAATATGGAACATTTATCGACTGAATTAAATGATTTACCTGATGAAATTCTTATGATTATTTTGAAAAAATTGTTTAATACCGAAGTACTCTATTCTTTAATAGATGTTAATAAACGACTCAATACAATTGTACGTGATCCAATTTTCACAAGTCACTTAACATTGATGAGATGCTTCTCAGATAATTCCAACTATCCATTGCCTGATCCAATACTTGATCGATTTTGTTTACAAATCTTACCCTCAATTCATCATAAAATCAAATGGGTTAATCTTGAATCATCATCTATGAAACGTATTCTTCATGCTACAAATTATCCGAATTTATATGGACTTGGTTTATTTGATATTGAGATAGAAACAGCTATCTCTTATTGGTAAGATATTTTCTTTAATTCTTTCAATAATTAATTCTGGAAAAATATATACAAATCAAAATGATTTTGAATATATAATTTATACAAATAGATTTAGATTATTATACGTTTTTTTTTCTGGTAAAATATTTCTGTACTTTACTGATACAAACTGACAAACACAAATTCGAGAAAAATTAGTAGTAGAAAAGTGATACAAGGAATCATTTATAAATTAAAGCAATATTTGAATAAACTTTTCTAGTGTCTTTAATTAAAATATCCAACATTGATTCTGAAAGACGAAATTGTAGAATAAAATAAATGACACAATGTAATTTATTAAAAAATTTAAGAAAACATTACACACGTACATTACAGAATTGTTAAAAATAAAAAAAAGGAATAAATACATCGATTTAGTGATCAAGATAAAATCCAATATATTGTTTGTTGACTTCGTATTTCTTTTTTCTAGACGAATCTTGTTTAATTTCTATAAATAAAAATCAAATCTCATCGCTTATTATCGATGTTACTAAATGTAAAAAAAGAAAAAATTTAAGAACAGATGTGCTTGAATGTATATTGATACATATCCTTAATATATTCTCCAATTTACAATATTTAAAATTTTGTCCATCTTCAACTTCGTTTCAACAATTATTATTTAACAATCCATCTCCAACTATGAACTCTTCAACTCTCTTAGAATTGCATATCAGTTTGGCACATTTCATCGACTGTCTTTATATACTTGATGGACGTTTCAATAAACTTCACACGCTTTATGTTGATATTGGTTCCATTTCCTCTTCGCATTTAACAAACAATAATCAGGTAGATTATTTCAGCTAATATTTAAGTTTTTCGAACAAATACATATGGTTTTTTATAGGAAAAACTATCTAATTTAAGATGTTTTTCGCTATGTTGTGAAATGTCGACACATTATTATGATGAATTAATTGTACCATTTCTACAACGAATGTCGAATTTAGAAAAACTCTGTTTGAATCTTGTTGTTTGTGACAAAAATACATTTGTTGATGGAATTGAATTGAAGCAGAAGATTATTAATCATATGGCACGATTACAGAGATTCGAATTTTATATTTGCTCAGGCATTTCTCTTCATAATCAAATTTATCTACAATCGAAAGAAGATATTCAACATACATTCAGAGTTTTTAAAGATAATCAAGTTATTTCTTATGTTGATTATTTCCAAGAACAATATGGTCTATGTCATATCTATTTGTATCCTGAACAATTAAAATATTATTATACTGTAACAAATAATTTTCCAGGTGGCTTATTTACATGTGTTCGGACAATATCATTACATGATGAACATCCTTTTGAACATGAATTTTTTCTTCGAATTCAAAAATCATTTCCATTTATGAAAAAACTTTCTTTAAATAATTCCAAACCACAAAATAACAAATTATGCAGAGAATCACAGAATGACAATCAAGATTTTTCAATCATTAACTATCCTTATCTTACTACTCTTACACTTTACGATGCTCATGATGATTATATCGAAGAATTTCTAGTTGATACGAAAATATGTTTACCGAATAATGCTGTTCATCTTAACATTTATTATGAACAACTAAAAAGAGTGACACACAATTTTACAAGAGATACAACACGAATCAATTGTGCCAAACTAAATTCTTTATATCTCAACGGTCGTCGACTTCCTAAATGTGCAAAAGACTATTTTCCGCATGTATAAATATTGATTATTATCAATGCTTTTGTAAAATAAACTGGTTTATGTAGAATGAAAATATTAAAATAGACAAAATTTATTTTAAATTGGATTGAAAAGACTCGCATCTATTTATGTGCAAGAAGAATCACACATAATAATCCTGGACTGATAAAAAACATAGTAAAAAAGATAGTTATTTTACAGAAAAAAAATCAAGAGGAACATCTCAAAGTCGAGTTATTTGGTACCATATAACCTGAAATACATCTTTTAGAATCGAAAACAAATAGAAAGCTGAGAGCTTTAATTATTTTGATTTACCATACGAAGAATGTCTTCGAAGACGGTTAGCAAGATATTATGATCCACCAGATCTACAAGGTTATTTTGAGGAACATGTTTGGCAAGCTTATGTCAAAGCAAAAAAAGAAAGTTGTTGAACGATTTCATCACAAGAAAATTGTTGTTGCTGGTACAACAAAAGAATCATTTGAAGAAATTGAACAAAAAATTGTCAAAGATATTGAAATAAAATTATATAAAAAAACAAAATGAAATAGAAAATAATTAATAAATATCATTTGTCTATGCTCAGAAATAGATATGTGCGGGACCGGGACCAAAAATTTAAACTTTTGCCGGCACCGGGGTGTGGGTCAAAAATAAAACTTTACTGGGATTAGGGGTGGCACTTTAGCTTTAAACTTTAAATGCTAAAGTAGTTAAAGTTAAAGTGCACTTTTTCTTATAAAAGTAATCTTCTGTTAGAAATTTGTAAAACTTAATAAACATTCATAAAAGTATCAACAACTAGTTATGGGCTATGTAACATGACTATTCATAGGTCATCAACTACCATATAACGGGTCTACCGTTAGTTCATCAACTACTGTATAACGGGGGTATCCTTAGGCCACCATGTACGATGTAATGTGAGTACCCTTGGGTCATTAACTACCATATAACAGGGGTACCCTTGGGTCATCAATTGCTATATAACGAAGGTACTTTTGGGTCATCAACTACTACATAACAGTGTACCATTGGGTCGTGAACTGCGATATAACGGCAGTAGCCTAGAGTCATCAGTTGCGATATTACGGTGTTAGCCATAATTGTTGATTTGCTGTATACGGGTAGCTACATAGCAGTTCATCGAGGATGTAAGGCTGATGTTCACAACTCATCATACACCATATAACAGGTGGACGCAATGCTCTTGTTTGAGTATATAACTTGTTTGCTGATAAACTTTCATAGATTATATCGAGGTATCGATAACGATGCATGGGCATCACGAGGAAGTGTGAAGAACTCGTCATCGACTACGGACTAGTTGAGACACTTAGCCCGATACTGTTCATCTTGTAGTAGTCTGGTACTGTGTCCGTGGGATGGATGTTGATGCTTCTCGTAGTCTTCGCTAGATAACTAGATGTAGTGGTGTCATGTCGGTAACATCTCGAGGCAAATTCATTAGATGGTGCTTCACGACTTATTCCGTACATTTTCCTAGTTTGAATGTGACTTTAGTCAATGTGGGAGCTATTATCCTCCACTGCATATAAAATCCTTGCTTCTATGTTTTTTTATACTTTACATCTATGACTAAGGACAGGTCATCCACAGCCTTCGGTTTTGAGCATCTTTATTGTGTTACCGAGTTTAGTCTTAGCTATCGTTTACAGCCATCCATTACTATTATTATGCGATAAATTATCATGATGTTATGCTGTGGCAATAAAGCCCTCGACACATTAGAAGACCCCGGGTCTTCTATTCTGTCTTATCGTTCGCAAGTCACAAGAGGGGTCTTGTATTATGTTCCTAAAAAAAAGTCAAATTTTTTGGTGATCTCAACGAAAAATCCTAATTTCAACACTTTTTTGTCCCATATATCATTAGTAAACGACTTTATTTTACTTATTCTGCACTCATCAATGGAAAAGAAGCGAATAATATTTTAATACAAAAAAGAGAAAACAATCGTTGCTTAGAAGAGTGTTCTTGAAACAATATAGACAACATATCTTAAAATTTTTGTACGATTTGTAATAGGAGTATTTTTTCTAAAGAATACGATTTATCACTAGTGGCACCTATGTTCTATATAGCTACACTCTCGGACAGAAATCTTTCTTCCTCTTTGTTTCTATTCTATCATACTTTGCATAAAATTTATTGCCGAGTAAAAATATGAAATAAGAGGTTTATTTCAATATGGTATAGATAACACTGAAATAAAACTCTTATGTCACATCTTTATTTGATTATAAATTTGATGCAAAGTATGATAGCATAGAAACAATGGGAGAAGGACTTTTATCCAGAGGTATAAATAACTTAACGAAAGAGAATTAACCCTTTTTATGTCAAACTTATTTCAGTTAGTTGCTGATTGAGGATTGGCTCGTATAAATAGAATTGATTCAAGACGAAATGTACTACCAGCTCAATTATTAGTTTCTAGCTAATTTGAATTAGTACGATTGCCTACGAAGAAACAATTTACAGAAAAAGAGCGATCGAATACACGTTGAGAGTGATTTTAGAATCTTTCGCTTCTGCTTCGAAAAGCACCTTGGCATCTTCATGCGAAAAGAGATACGTCGTCAGACATATGAGAGGAATTTCATAAGACACGTCTCATTGTATGTCCTCAGAGATATGTTTTTTCCAATTATGAATGAGATCTTGCATGATAAGAACATCAAAAATCCTAGAAGAAAGTGCACAGACGAAGCGAAGTATTAACTAATAGGCAATAAATTTTTACCGAAGATGTTCTTATTTCAAAAAGATCTCTTGATGTGTGATACGTTTGGAAGTGTACCGCGTTAATTAGGTCCTGTGATCGTTCGAACGAATATTTTTGCAAAGAAAATCTAACAATTTTCTTCACAGCATGCTGCAAAGGAGCATTAAAGTGATCTCAGAGCACGTTTTTTTTTATACAGAAAACATTTTTTTTTATTAACTACTCTTTCCTATTAGCTTTTTCTCATGAACTGTCCAACTCAGAGCTGACATGCTGCTGAGACGTGGAAGCAAAATATTGTCCGTACTAAAAAAACATAAATACTAACATATAAATAAATGCTAAAAAAATTAAAAAGCTTTAGAAATTATTAACAAAATCAATTTTCAGCGGGGGGGGGGGGAGTCTTCTAAGCTGGCTTTTTTTGCGTT